GCCAATCTGGGCCGCCTCCGGGCCCGGCCCTGCGGCTCGGCCAGCCTCGTTCCGGCTCACAGCGGCAGAAACGAACATTATTTAATTTCCCGCCAGCGGGCAGTGAGAGCCCGAGCTCCCCCTTCCCCTCCCGCTGGACTTATTTACTTAATCCTTTTTGGAAACAGTGTCTGGGGAGGGATCTGAAGGCCAGCCCTGGGGACCTTGCTAATCCTCCTGGCCTAGGAGCCTCCTGGGAGGGTTCTCTAGAGACCCCAAGCTGGGGGCCTAGAGAAATCTACCAGCCACCGACCCCTGAGATGTCTGCGTGGATAAGCACCCTAAGGCCAGCTCGTTCATTCAGGAGGGGACCCCAGGAAACACCAACTGGGACTGAGGAAGCAAGATGGTGCCTACGTGGGGCTTTTCTCTGCAGGCAACTGGGGCTCAGGCGTGCTGGGGACCCTTCACCTTGGAATCACCACCTCAAGGGAGCGAGGAAGCCTTGGAATTTATACCCCAACACCCATCTGTCACCCATGAGGGCTGGTGCCCCCCAGGGAGGGACGTTCATGCACAAACATGTCTCCCTGTTTCACACCTAGGACAAGCACAGTTCTGCAGCCTTCTCATCATTTGGCCAGTGACAGGAGACTGACCCCATGGAGCTGCTCATCCTCTGTGTCCCCTGTCCACTCTTCCTCTTTCTTGGAGCCTCTGTGCAAAAGGTGCTTCCTGCAGGAAGCCCTCCGTGATCACCCCAGGAATGAGATCTTACTGATTACCACCTTGTCTTTTACATATTTCCCGACTCTATATACTCACGGCAAAATGGAATGAATGTTCGAGTTTATTTGGCTGCAAAACAGGTTTGAAACCCATATATAATGTGTTCAGGTTTTCTTCGAACTTTTTGAAGACACCTTCGTGTCATGGACCAGGCTTTTCTTTTTGCTTATTTGTGAGTGTATTGCCAATCACTTCCACCAGACTGGAAGCCTCTGGAGGCAGGGGATCATGGGTACCTGAATTTCCACTGTAGCCTTTGCACATAGTAGGTGCTCTACAACTATTCTTGGACTGTCTGATTTATGCAATAACCCAGGCCCTGTGTCATTTACCACAGTCACTGGTGCTAGTGCCTTCATGGCGTCTATAATGTTTAAGTACTGAAAGGTATCAGTGGAGTAAAATATTGGAAAGTGTTGGAGCAATCAAGGAGTACTGCCTGAAAGAGGTGACTTTCTTTTTCTTCGTCTTCTAAACATTAAAACAAAGAAGAAAATCGGATCCTTTGGAGAAGTAGGACATTTTAAATATCGGATGACCCATGAGCCCTGGCAGTGTGGAGCTCAGAGACCTTTTTTTTTCACTGCACACATCCAAAAAGACATATTTTATAGGCAATAGAATGTATAGGACAACGTCTTCTATGTCATAATTTTACTACATGATGGTTCCGAACTGTCCAAGCTGAAAGATTAAATATAGAAAAGTTAAAAATAAAGGAGGAAGCAGCAGCCCAAGGCAGAGAGACAAGGGGAGTCAGTGCATGGGTGGGGGCAATTGGTTCAGTACTGGGGTGCCTGCGAGCCTTCAGCCTTCTCCTGCAGGACTGCCTGGCCCAGGAATGTTAATTGTTCGCCTGTCCTAATAGGTGTAATATGCTCTCGCGTTACACGTGCATTAATTAAGTAACACTGCATTTAGCTCCAAATCATGCGGAAGGCTGGAATGCTGTTTGCACGGGCATAAATATCCGTGCAGTTAGCAAGTGGCTGGCAGGGTTTTCTCTCTGCCCACTGCAGTCCAAAAAGAAATCTTGGAAGAAATGGACAGTGGTGACGCCAGCAAGGGGTGCAAAGAATGAGAAAAGACTCCCCCACTGTCCGGGACAGGGGAAAGAGGAATTAAAACTAACCCATCAATAGATAGATAGTGTAGCTGCTGGGCTTTGAGGTCAGACAGAGGCAGGGTTGAATCCCAGCACAGTCACTGACTTGCTGTGTGACCTGGGGCAAGTGGTTCGGCCTCTCTGAACCTGTTTCTCAGTCAGAAAGTAGGCCTACCTTAGAGAGAGGTGGTGAGAGTTTTGATGGGGCGATGCGTGGGAAGAGGGCATTCGGATCTCACTGTCCTGGTTACGTGGGAAGGGCGTAGGGCAGGGGCCGAGGTTAGCACACCAGGATGGCCCTCATGGAAGGGTTCCGTGTTCGGGTCAAGCGTGTCCATGGTCCAGGGCTGGCTAAGCTTATCGTTCTTGGTGAAGAGCCTGCTGTCTTTCTCTCACTCATGGAAAAAATAAATAAAAACAAACAAACAAACAAAAACCCAGAAAGTGCTTAGGACAAAGTGCCTCATTTATTTTATTATTTTTGAGAGATTTTTTGCTATAGGGCATGTGAGCTCATGGGAGAGACAGACGGAAAGTGAGAAATTAACTCCCCGGGCGAGGGCGGGGGAAAGGCGGATGGCCATGCTGTGATCCCTTCTCTTCCATCCTCCTCGGGATTTTAGGCACGTGCGCACACACCCCTGGTGTGAGTTTCAAGCTGCCAGGTCTGGGACTTGAACTTTGATCACCCATGCAGGAGTCCAGCACCTTAGTCACTATGCCACCTGCCAGCCCCAGGACAAAGTGCCTTATAATGCATGGGGATGTCCTCTGGGAGTCACTCATTTCAGGGAGGCCCTGGCTGAATTTCCTGTTCAGAGTGCTCCAGGCCGGTAGGAGGCAGGCACGATCTAGTGCCCTTAGAGAACCGGGCTCCCTGCAGGGAAGGGTGCAAGCATCGGCAGCTACCAGGAGAGGCAGCTGGGGGTGGCAGGAAGGGAGAGTTGTCCCGGGGGAGGGCACAGATGTGCCGTCTAGTCCTTGTTCTCTCTCCTCCGGGACATGCTTTTGGCTGGGACCTCCACTGCTGCGGCCGTGGTCTGTGAAATGGAGCCACAGTGTCTGCCAGTCTCTGGGGCTGAGCTGATGCTGCAAACCCTACTGAAACCAAAGAGCAGCTGCCTGAGAAAACAGGACCAGGGGAATCTGCAGAGCAAGGGAGAGTCCCAGGGTCCCCCTTATCCCTGTGGGGGACATCTGGTCAACCCCACCTCGGGGCAATCATTTCCCCCCACCCCTCACCAAACCACGCCCAAATTTCAGAGACAGCACTGTCCTGTCTCACGCCAAGCTCTCTTTTGCAGATGGGGAAACCGGAGGGAAGTGACTGGCTCAAGGACACCTCACAATTCAAAGCAGTGCAGAGCTCAAAACCCCTGACTCCTGGGCAGAGCGTCCCTGCCACCCCCTCAAGCCCACAGGGATTCGGGGCTGTCTTGTGCTCAGCCGCTCAGCGGCCGCCCCACCGGCTGACCAGAGCCACGTGCTGTTCGTGTTTGAGATACTCACGTCGCCGTTGTTTTCTTCTCTTCCTTTTAAGGGCTCAGGATGCAGGAAAACCAACTCAACGTGCATAATTTGGTAATTATTTCTTGTGTTCATCCTCACGGCCGTGCCTGCATACAGATATTGGAATTTGCATAAAACAATCTTGCTCCCAGTCCCACGGCTTCCCGGGAAGAAGACGCCCAGGTGGGGGCGGGGGAGGTTTCAGGTTGGTCCCACCTGTTCCCCCTCTGTCCTTGGCCACAAGGGGAAATGAAGGGAGCACAAGGCGGGGGTGGGGAGCGGGGCGCTCGGCCCTCAGCACCCACACCCTGGGGAGACCGGGAACAGCAGGACCGGCAGGGACTCAGTGGCAGAAAAACACAGCCCGTGGCAGCCCGGAACCCTCCCGATTAGTATTCAGCAAGCATCTCGCTCAGAAAGGATTAATGGAGTCTGATGCTTAATATCCTGAAGAACAATTAATTTGCTCACAGTTTTGTCATGGTTGAAAGTCAAATGCTGGAACAGATCGATGCTCGCACGGCGAGCTGGAGCCCAGAAACCTTCGGCAGGAGCAGAATTTTAATTCTCCCATCCCGGGCCCCTTACCCCTCCCCCCATCCCCAGCACACCCACTTTCTAAGAGTTCCAAAAGCCACTTTCTCCACAAACGGTGCCCGTTGCCTTCACGTCCAAAACCCATCGCCAGCCTTCGAAGGCAAAATGCCCCCTGACTTCCATTATGGCATTAAAGTCAGTGGGTCCTTCTTGGGGTCTGAACTTCCTTTTATTCCCATTGTCCTTCCTAGCACCCCAGCCTGGGTCTCCTCCCAAGAGGGGCCTCTGATGTCTGGACATGGTCACCAGCACGCTTGCCCTCAAAAGATGCCAAAGCAAAGAGGGACGCGGTGGGACGCAGCGGGGTTGGTTTGTTTCCTTGCCGGGCCTTCTCCGTTTGTTTCTTCCTCGGCGTCGGCTCGGCAAGGGAATCGTGGCGTGGTGGTGGGCTCGGGAACTCAGGAAATCGATGGGCTCGCAAGGAACGTGGGCTTTGTTTAAAAATCACTTCCAGCCGGGCTGGGTGGGGGAAGCGACTTTGGCGATTCGATCTTGGCTGGTGGATTGGAGGCCACAGGGTGGGGCCTCCTGGGAAGAGAGGGTACCAAAGGGAGGTGGCTTTGAGGTCGTCTTGGCTGACCGCCCTTCTTCCAGCTGGGGAAACTGAGTCCCAGAGAGGTCCAAGTAGTTGTCCAAGTTCACACGGCACCAGCCGGGCAGTGACACTTCCTCAGGCTGTCATTTAAACCCCAGCTCTGCAACATGTGGCCAGGGGACCCACAGCCCTGGTCTCACCTGTCACTTACTAGAAATGCAGGGTCTCAGGCCGGGTGCAAGGGCATGTGACCTGGACAGTCACTGGGGACCCACAGCTCACAGGGGCCTCACACCCACTCTCAGGTGCTCTGCTGTCTTCATCTTGAAATTCTTTTGGAACCAGGGGACCCCTTTGCGCGGGGCCCTGCAGTTGAGGTAGGTGAGCCTACTGGACAGTATCCACATTTTTCCAAAGTGTATTTATGTATGTCTTCCATGAGAGAGAAAGAGAGAGACAAAGAGGTAGTCGCTGCCATCAGGGGGTTCATGCCAAGCCCACCGCAGCCTCCCCAGCCTGGGTCACCAGAGCAGGTGCACACACCCAGCGTGTCCAGGGAGGCTCAGGCTGCGGGCCGTCCTACACGGGTCCGGAATAGCAGAGTGTCGCGTTTGCAGCATGCCCTTATCTGTTCCAGAATCCGTGTGTTTTTCTTTCTTTATTTTATTGCGAGATTGTTGCTATATGTGTGCTCGCCAGAGAGACAGACAGTGAGAAATCACCCACCAAGGATGGCCACGCCATTCTCCTCCTGGGAGCTTGGGCAGGCACGCACATGGGCCCAGTGTGAGTTTCAAGTCATCAGGTCTGGGACTTGAACCGCTGCTGGTCACATGGAAGTCCAGCAACATAACCACTACACTATCTGCTGGCCCCCAGAATCTGTGTTTAACAGAAGCGGAATGATTCCTGCACACCTTGAAGTTTGGGAAGTACCTGATTCACACACCCAAGGAGGAGAGTCGGCCGGCACCATCATGATCCAATCACTCCAGAGTCCACAGCCGCCCACACCCCGAGGGCTGAGCCAGCTGGCTCGGAGACCACCCTGTGGAGAGGGCAGAGCTGCTCTTCCCTCCAGTCCAGGCTGATTAAAGACCCCATGTCTGTGGGGGATGCCAAGCGCACCTTCGTAGGAGCATTAGTTAGAGGCTCCGGGCTAGAGAAGGCCTTAGAGAAAAGGCCACACCCTGTGACCCCTTCATTTCCAGATGTCACCCTCAGCCCGTGTTTTCTGCACTATCTCCCTCTTCTGACTCGCCTGTGCTGGCAGAACCTCTGTGCCTTACCTTGAGGCCTGGGACCTCCAAAACTCCCCAAAGCAGGCTTTGTCCCATCCACTCCTTACCACGAGGCAAATGTCACTGTCTCCACTTCTCAGGTATGAAAACGAGCTCAGAAAGGTGAAGGGACAAGCCTGTAGTCTGAGCCCAGAGCTCCAAGAGTCTCCACAGTGAAGCCCGAAACGGCAAGCCTTTGTCTGTCCATGGTGAGGGGTGTCTCTGCCCATGAGGAGACCTGTCCCTCTGCGCCTACCCCCCAGCCTGCAGGGAAGGGGCCCCGGGATGGGGCAGCCACACACAGGAGGACATTGCTGGTGTTGCCCTTCCCTTTTCCCCAGGTGTCTGGGCACCATTGAAGGGGAAAAGGATTTTAAAAGAGGGGTGGAAGATGATCTGGCCTCTGTAGCGTGGTGAGCAGTGAACTGAACCGCAGAACTACAGGCCACGCGGCCAGCCATGGGTTCAGATCCCAGCTGGCCTGAAATGCGAGCCCAAGATCCCTGGCAAGCTGGAGGGCTGGGACAGGGGTCTGCAGTGTGACAAGACACGGTGCAGGCTCCCTCCCATTCTCCCTCTCTTATGCACACACACTCTCTCTATCATGGATAAATAAACCTAAAAAGCGGGGAGGGTAAGGAGTGGCAGAGGAGGAAGGAGAGACAGGGAACAGAAGAACCGGGGGCCACGCGGTGCTCTGTTGGCTCGTCTCCATCCTCACAGAAGCCGTGGGCTCTCTTAGCCCCGCTCTGAGGAGCGGGAAACAGGGGCGCGCCGGGCTGCCTCTACCTGCCAAAACCCGGTGTGGTCACTGAACACCCTCAGCAGGTGGGTGTTCCTATCATGCCGCATTTCTATTTATTTAGTTTGTTTTGACATATTTATTTATTTAATTCTATGTGTTATTATTTTTTTTTTTATTTGACCAGAGAGAGAAAGGAAAAGTGAGAAAGCAAGCCACCAGGTCTGGGACTTGAACCGCAGTCAGCCATGTGAGAGTCTAGTGCTGTGACCATCATGCTACCTGCTGGTCCCCCGTTTTCTCTCTTAATAACAGTGTGGACACTGTGCCAACTTCCCTGCTGAGAGCTTCGCACTTTGCCACACCCACGAGGAAGGTGCTATAATTAGACCCATTTTACAGCTAGGGACACAGTGGCAGGGAAGGGGAATCTCCCATGAAATGCTGAACAGGGGTCAAGGTCATCTTTGTGGGTGGGAGTCCTGGCTCCTGAGGGCTGGACCGATCGTGGGAGATGATCCAGACAATCTTGCCCTTCTTTACAGATGATAGAGGCCCGGAGAGGGTGAGGGACCTACGCAGGTCACACGGCCAGTCAGCTGGACCTCAGAAAGCCAGCCTCAGGTGACTGAGGGTCAGCAGGACCTCCCCAGCCCAGAGAGATGGATCCAGAACGTTCCTGCAAACTCTCCCGTGCAGGTGCTGCCCAGCCCACGTCTGACCTTGGGCTGAACCCACTGCCGAGAACACCCTCTAGGTTAGACGAGGTCGGCCTACGAGGCCTCCAGAGAAAGCACAGCTGGGGCCTGCTCTGTGGACACCAAACATCTGGCTGCCGGCTTCCGGAGCTGCAGACGGGTCACAGGCGGGAGGCGCTAGACAAGGCCTGATCTACTCTCCCCCAGGAAGCTCCAGCCAGGATCTGCTCACACACAAGACGGAAACGAATGAAAGCGAACCTGGGCGAAAGCGCGGGTGTGCACCTCCAGAAGGCGGGGGGCAGGGGCAGATCCTGTCCTCACTAGGCCGTGGCCTGGGGGCAGGGGGCAGAGTCGTCTCCTTCTGGAGGAGTTCTGTCATCTGCTCTTTGGGGACATAAGTCCCTACCCACAGGTACGGGTCATGCTGTAATGCCTGGCATGTAGTAAGGGCTCAATAAACAGGCGTGCCGCTGTGGGCGTTTTCACCCTGACACACCCTTAAATAGATTCCACCCACATGCCGCAAGCTCCACTTCAGCACGAGAGTCCGAGGTCCAGGAAAACACTCCCCTGGATCAATCTGCTCGGAAAGAGGCAGCCTGGTGTGGAAAAGGCAGATACGCAGGTCTTTAGGGGCCGCCTCTGTAGCGTCACGGTGAAGGCAGCCAGATCTCGCTGAGTGTGCGGTTTGAGTCCCAGACACTGTAGGCTTGAGCACATGCCAGGTGCACGTGTGCACATGCCCGGAATCCTGAAAGGAGGGAAAGATGGAGGAGGACGGATGTGAGTGTGACCATGCCAGAGGGTGCCTTCTTCTCTCCTTATCTCTCTGTCTCTCTCTGGAGAGCACACACCTCTAGCACACACACAAAAATAATAATAAATTAATTAAAAAGTGAAGATCTTGGGGCTAGTAGGTAGCTGCGTGGTTAAGGCACTGGACTCCCACATGGCCAAGTGTGGTTAGAGTCCCAGACAGACCTGACAGCTTATTTTTCACTTTCTCTTTGTCTCTCTGTCTCTGTACAGGGAGGGCACATGCTCTATAGCAAATTAAATAAATAAATAAATAAATAAATAAATAAATAAATAAATAAATAAAATTAAATAAATAACTTAAAAAAAGAAAGTCTTGTAAAACACATATTAGGAAAAACTACGCGTGGATTTCCAACTTTTTTGTACCAAAATAAACTCACCCTTTGATTCCAGTTTTCCATAAATTTTTCTTTTTTCCTAAGAGAGATCTTTGCTATAGGGTGCGTGTATTCACCAGGGAGACAGAGACACAGAAAGTGAGAAATCACCCCCCCAGGGGGGATGGCCACGTTGTAATTCCTTCTCCTTCAGTCTCCTCTCTGGATTTGGGGCACGCACGCACACATACCCGGTGTGAGTTTTAAGTCACCAGGTCTGGGACTCGAACCACCATCGACTATGTGGGAATGCAGTAACATAACCATTACACCTTCTGCTGCTCCCTTCCATAATCTTTTTGAAGTCCCCTCATACAAGAAATCAAGCTCAGCTAGGCAAGGGTTCAAATCATGCTCCCATCTCTTGCATTCCTAATCCCTGGGCAAATGATGTTTGGAGCTGGGGCTTGATTTCCTCGCCTGGGCATGGGGACCATGCCTGCACCATCAGGACTGCCCGATGGCCAGGCAGGCTCCGACGGTCACAATGAAGGGCTCTAGGTTAACGGTCAAAGCCAATGATTCCTGGAGTTTATCTCCTAATGCCAGACCCAGGGCCGATGGCTGGATTGCAGAGGGGCCTTCTCACACCCCGTACAGGCTGTTCCAGTTTAGCCTGGACTCAGTTTCCTCGGCTATAAAAGGGAGAGG